TCACTGCGTGATAGACTCAGAAATGAGGATATCCGCAGTGAAACCGGAGTGACCGACATAGCCCAACGGATTAGTAAGCTGAAGTGGCAATGGGCCGGCCATATAGCTCGAAGAACCGATAACCGATGGGGAAGAAAGGTTCTCGAGTGGCAGCCTCGTACCTGTAGGCGTAGTGTAGGGCGATCCCCCACTAGATGGAGTGACGGCCTGGTAAGACATGCAGGAAGTCGATGGATGCAGGTGGCTCAGGACCGTGCTTTGTGGCATTACTTGGGGGAGGCCTGTGTTCAGCAGTGGACTTGTGAAGGGCTGTAATGATGATGATGATGATTGTAGAGATAACCATGATATAGTATTATTTTCCTATGACACTTCATTAATTTTCAAATTAATACAATATTTACTAAAATATGACGAAATAAATAATGCTATAAATTAGTAAATTGGCCTAATATTAATCATTTGTGTTCAAATGGCACTGAAACTAAATATATGAAATTCATAACTCCAAATGTCAAACATGTAAATACTAATGTAATTAAATAGGGAAGAGCTGAGTCTTGGCGACATCACAATTTTCCTTGAAATCATACAAGCCGCAAAGCTTTAATGGAGCCCCATACATCAAAACTAGCAAGCGAACTTAGTTCTGCATATGCTGTAAAAAATTAGAAGTCTTACCAGTTTTGAAACAGCTAGACTAGTTTACTTTAGCTATTTCCAAAGCATAATCTCTAATGGTATTTTGCTATATGGGGACACGCGACTGACACAGAAATTATATTTGTTTTACAGAAGAAGGTCATTAGAGCAATTTATTATTTAACACCTAAAGAGTCGCTCAGACAAAAATTTTAAGATATTTTTTCTTTGGCCTCTCAATACATTTATGAAAATGTAACGTGCGTACACAAAAATAGAAATAGTTTTACAAAAATAAGTGATATTCATTCTGTAAATACTAGGAACGGACACAAGCTAGTAGTACCAGTTACTCGACTCCACCGAGTCAGTAATTCATTCTTGGGGCGATGTATACGCTTTTACAATAAAATCCCAAGAAATATACAAAATTTGACCTGCTCAAAGTTCAAAACTTTATTAAAGTAAGTTTCTATAAAAAGGGTTATTATAATATTAATTTATGGATGATAATAACCTCTGGTAATGAGGTAATTGGTACCAAGCTATTTCTAATTTGTTTTGTATTGTGTAATATACATGTAAGCTGTTATTTTTTTAATGTCCCGCTGGGTTTCTTGCCGTTTCTTCCCAGAACAGAGTTTTTTTTCTGAATAATTTGAATTAGTAGTTTAAATTATAATATTAAATAAATATTTTGCCGTAAAGTATTTGTATTTTATATTTCATTTAATTTGAAGGTTTCACTTCTGTCGCGTGTGATCTGCACGCATGTTTTTTATTACCATTATTTTCACTGTAAAAAGAAATTACCTAAACTATCGGCGTCCTGAACCTTGTTCCCTGCCGGCCGATCAGTCTTGTTCCGTTTTCGAACGGTAAAGTTGTGTCGCTTACGATCAGAATACACATTACGCAACAGGACGACGTAAAATTAAAATGGGAAATAACCGTAATAAAATTAAGAACTGACTGGGTTGGTTAAGAAATAGGCACAAATATGATAAACCTAATGAAATAAGTGTCTAACGACCTTTCTACTTACATTATTAGTGATTACAAACATGTCGGTACATAGCGTACGACGCGCGGGGAAGTGGGGGCTAAATTATAATTTGAGCTGACGCAGTACCCTTAAGCACTGTTCTCCGTAATTCTAACAATTTCAGATCCATGACGAATCTGCATATCGATATTTAATTTAAATTCAACTACAAGTTCCTAAACATAAAAAAAAACATTGTTCTTTTATTTTGGTCTGAAATTTTTACTAATAGAAGAGTGAAACATTTGAATTACGAAATAAGCAAAGAAGAAACAAGTTAATAAATACTATAAAAAGTATATTTCTTCTTCTAAAAAAGGAGATAGAAAATTGTATAACGGAAAGGCAAACTGAGATGCGAACGCTAAATTTAGGTTGCACAAGAATAAATCAATACTGAAATAGGTCAAACAGCAGATCTCAAAGTTACCTAGATAAGCGTAACAAACTTCACAAGACTTTCTGAAATTGTACAGTGCTGTGTTAAAAATAAATTTCTATACAAATATTAAGAAAATATATACTACGAAGTGGCAGTAGCCTAATCGTTAGGTGCGAACCGCGAACTCAAACGTCGTGGGTTTCACAATCCGACGTGTGTCGTGAAACACTTCTTAGTATTTTAAGCTTACTGCGAGTTATAAAGGAAACATTAGCAATATTACCAGTATTTTTTTATATGTACTGTTACAACAACATAGAAGTATGTCTATCTTCATAATCCCTGCTTTTCCTATAAATTCTTAAGAAATTACTCAAATACATGTCTTTATTGATTTTGAGGCCTTTAGCAGATGAAAGCATGACCATTTGATAATACATCCCTAAAATACCGCGACCTGGTACATTGACAATTCTTTGCCTTCCAGTGGTGCCCCCTGGCGATCCCTCCTATTTTGGAAAAAGTCTATCAAGCTATTTTCGATTCAGACCAACAATGAAAGTTAGACAGAAAAATTACTTATATTTACGTGAACACTACATATTGATTAAAACTACTTTAACACTACTTTTACGAAACTACTTTTACGGATTTTAACGCATTTAATACAGGGATTTAAAAAAATCAAACGCGATAAAATCCGTAAAAGTAATTTTAATCAATGTGTAATGTTCACGTAAATACGTACGGATTGGAAATAGCAAATAATATAAATTAAACGCTATAAAATCCGTAAAAGTATTGAATAAAACTATATTTACGGATTTTATCGCGTTGATTTACTTATTTTTAATTCCCGACGGAATTAAAAATATAGTTAAAACAAGCAAATGAAATGTGATAAAATCCGTATAATATATACTTTTATTCAATGTGTAGTGTTCGCGTAAAGTTAAGAAATCATTATCCGTAAAAATAGTTTTAATCAATGTGTAGTGTTCGACTAAACATAAGAAATCATTATGTAAACCAGTACGGACTGAAAATAGGAAATAATATAAATTAAACGTTATAAAAGCTATAAAGTTTTAATCAAAGATAGACAGAACATTACACACATTTCAAGCAAAGTAAAAATTGTGTTTAAAATATTATAAGGATATGCACTTGTTAAATATAAATACATGCATATCGGCCAATAGAAAACCCGCGTAAGTTTGCAGCTTAATGTTGCTGTGAAACATCTGCATTTGGTTCTTAATCGAGGATAGGTGTAGATGTCTATCAGTCACAGCATCTATTTACCATCAGATTTACGGTATGCTAAGAGAAGGTATGTCAAGAAGAGCCTTGTTTCCGCATTACTTGAAATGCACGATTTAAGAATACATACTGTCATAACTTCTAACAACCCTCATTTTGATTTGTTATATTTAAGATTCAAGAATAGTGCACTTTGAATAAAATTAATTTTAGAGATATTATCGCATTTAATTTTTTTTTTCCTTCATTTCGGCGCTTTATAGCACCCATGATCACAGAGTACAGAATTTTTTGACGTCCTGACGTCATAGTTAATTCGAGCTACTTTAACTTCTGGATATTTATTCCGATCTACGCGGAACAAGCTTACAGTATCTTGATCGTGCTGTGGTCGCTACGAGCTAGTGATCTATTTATATGGCGTTATATTTAAGACAATCATCAAAGACCATTTATCGTAACAAAATTCACGTTCTCCGGATAAAATATAGCCTCGATCAGTTCTTGCATTGCTCTCTCCCTGGTGAACAGCAGACAGAGAGCAACGCAAGAACGAATGAACGAAGAAGTTTCGTTACAATCGATTCAGCCATTTCGGTAATAAGCCCGGACAGACAGATATATTAATATATTTTACATGTTATATGATATTGAGAATACATAATATATAAGTAATATACATTATTATATATATTATATATTCCCAACTTCATTACAACTTTCATTACGTGGTGGAGCCATGCTGCAGCGATATTGTGGTTGCAGAACGAATGAGTCGACTCAACCGGGGTAGGACCACGCTCTCACAGAGTACCAGCGTAAAATAGCAGCTTAATGCTGCTGTGTTTCGTATGGTGAGTGTAGAGAACCGGAGACCCTTTTTACCGTAGACGAGGCATTCCATTTCAGTCCTTAGGGCTAGCAACGCATCTGCATTTTGATATTTAATTGAAGATAAATGTAGATGTCTATATATATGCCACAGCATCCACTTAACACATCAAGTGGACTGTGTGCTCGTTTGTCACCCTTATACTATAAAAAAATGCAAATGGTAGCACCCAGCCATCTTCTCTATTAAAATTATTATTTATAAAAGCTAAATACTAATATAGAAGAAGCTAAGCTAAGCTAAGCTCCTAAAGAATAAAACTTAAAGGTAAAATTGATGACGCTATTTTTCTTTTTTCTCTCTCAAAATATAATTTGATTTTTGCCTTGGTGGATAACTAAAAAAGGGGACAGTAAATTAGGACGGAGATAGGATGCTCGTTTTCAGACGAGTCAAGTTTTGTGACTATAATGCGATAAATTAATATTTGGCTTGCTATTCAGTGTTTGAAGAGCTCCTCGAATTTAATGAGTTTATCATTTGAGACTGCAAAAAACGAAGCCAAATTAAACACAACAAAATTCAAATCTGAGAAGGTAAACAAATTCAAAATACACCTTAATTGCTTTAACACAATTCGCCATTACTACAAAGAAATTATCAACAGGTTTTTTTTTGATCTTGTTGTTGTTACAACGTTACAACGCTCGTTGTTACAACCAATATTCTCATCATCATTATATCATCGGTTGTCAATTCTTTAAGATATATAACCTGGAAATTTAAAAATACGCAGAAAGACATTATTACAAAAAATTATAGCAAGAAATACTTACACTGACAGCCAAGAGATGAAGGCCAACGTAAACAACGATAGCACCATCGCCATAGTTCGAAAGGGAAACAACTGCACTTCATTCTCAGCGTCCCAGCCAGGGTAGTGTATCAGCGCGGGCAATCCCAAGAGCTTCTCTCCACCAGACAGCCGCACCAGCAGCGCCACGATGTAAGCCGCCAACGAACCGTACGTGTTACAATGCCGCTTGAAGTGAACCACCATCAGTAGTTGCGGGAACAGGATCACGTATACCAGATCTGAGCACATCGACCTGGAGACGAAAGATTATCAAAATTTCATGCCATAAAAATCTCCATAGATTCTGAAGGCAAGTATAGATAAAACGCGTTCCGTTAACGACATGTTTTTTTTGCCATCAAAATAAATATTAACGCTTTCACTGCTGTGTTGCGGTCTAAAGGGTTTCAATAGCCAGTATTGTTACAGTATTAACAGCCTCGTTAGTCTAGTGGTAGTAGTAGTCGACTGCTGATCATGAGGTCCTGGGTTCGAATCCTGGGTCGGGCCAAAAAATCAATTATTAAGTTTTCCGTCAAGAAATTCTCAGTAGTTGCCCGGAATCAGGAAGTTGGCGGTGTCTCACCCCCGTGCCTCGGAAAGAACGCAAAGCCGTTGGTCCTGCGCCTCTCTCTCCGGTCGTATCGGTTTCCCGTCCCATCGGTTTATGAGAGTGCACCTGTGCTTGTGCATACACAGGCACTATAATCCTGTCCCACGCCGATAGCTAGCCTCCGTTGACCGTGACCGAAATTCGGTCGGGAGGACATTATTATTATTATTACAGGCTGTTAGACATTCCTTCTTAGTCCCCAGAGGTGAATACGCATCTGTAGCCTTAATTTTTTAAAGTTGGATGCAGGTACCCAAAGCTTGCACTAGCCATTTACCATCACATGAACTCTTAGTGCGCTTGTCACTTTAATTTTAATAAAACACACACACAAAACTACAAATTAAAATACAAAATGTTAATAAGTAAAATGAACGAGATGGAAAAAATATTTCCAGGCAACATTTGGATGGACAGGTTTTAAGGCGATAGAGATCTAAATTACAATCGCCGGTCCGTTTGTCAAACCCGGTAAATCCTTCCTACAGTCGGAAAATGTATTATTAACAAAATAAACGGCTTTGTTTGCCTAGTTATTCGGGATAACGCACTGTCAACCATGAACAGTGAATTTGGTAAGTAAATTGCTTAAAATTCTGTTTGTACACGTATTTCACGTAGTCGTTGTAATCACTCAAAACGTCGGCGAACATAGGTCTACAAATATTAGGTCGGGGAAAATTTTTTTTCGTATTTTAGATACAAACTCATGACATTTTTTTTTTTTTGGAAATGTGTGTGTGTGTGTGTAAAAACGAAACTAATCGCGCCACCAATTATATAGGACAGTACAACTTATACCGGGCCAGCTAGTTAAAGTAATAGTTTTTAATTAAGATTTTCGTATTGCGAAATAATTTCTAAGTATTTTCCTAACCAGTGGTAGAAACTAAAAAAGACTTATTTTTTAAAGTATTAACCTATATTAAATTTAAAAAATCTATTCTATTATATTCTTTGGACACAGCACAATTAAGTCGGCTCAATCGGGAAAGGACCCCGCTTGTACAGAACATATGTTAGTGAAATACAGCAGCATAATTAATTCTGCTATTTCGTGTGATGATTGGAAACCGCCAAGGAAGTGACAGCACATCTGTATTTTGATTCCTGTGCGATGATTTTTTTATTTTTTACGTTAGTTAAAAAAGTTAAAGTTAGAGCCTATATACATCCCACTGCTGGGCACAGGACTCCGCTCATTTCTGAGAGGGTTTTAGGGCAAGGAATTGTACGCCGCGCTACCCCAATGCGTGTTGGCGAACTTCACATGTCTTCGAAATATTTCTTAGAGGTCCTACAATGTTTTTCGCTTAAAATTGCAATTAACAATTTCATTGATACCGGCAGGGATCGAACCCGGTGAAACTTACAGCGAGCGCTAACCTTTTTTACTCGCTATATTATATTTAGCTATATTATATTTGTAGCACGAATGGGTTGGCTGGACCGGGGCAGGACCAAGGTCTCACAGAATACCAGCGTAAAATAGCAGCTTAATGCTGCTGTGTTTCGTACGGTTAATGTAGAGAACCGGAGACCTTTAATACTGGAATAGAGGCATTCCACCTTAGTCCTTAGGGGGTGACAACGCATCTGCGTTATGATTCTTAATCAAGGATACATGTAGATGTATATGGGTCACAGCATCCACTTACCGTCAGGTGGACTGTGTGCTCGTTTGTCACGATATACTATTAAACATTTTTTAAAGGTTGTAGATATGGATGAGTGTCTGTGGGACGTAGCATTCATTTTTCATCGGATGGACGACCAGTATTCGAACCTATAGAAATAACTTTATATCAGAAAACTCGATCCTGACAGAAATACATTCTCTTCACATTTAGAATTTACTCATATAATAAAATAACCTTTTAGTAAAAAGTAAAACCGACTTTAAAAAACCTGAAAAGAATGAAATAATTTCCAGACAATAAGTTTTACAACGGTGCTAAGACCGAGCGTATGGAAGAAGTCGGCTTGAATTCCTTTTTTTCTCATGGCACTATCATAGAGTGTAGACGAGGACAATGACTCATTACTGCCAATATTATGATTTATAGACGATGTTCCCTGATAAACCTGTTATAGAGCGCCAATACTAACTTTAATGTTTTATTAAGGACTCTAAACGTTCCTCAATATATTCACATGACTTTATAACATTCATGGCCAATATGTATTAAATTTCATCCTGAGCTGATGCATATTTATTTGATATAACTTGTAGTGAGATTTCTGAATTTAGACACTATTTCAGTCTCATAACAGTTTTTTTATGTTTTCCACATCAATGTTTCAAGCACTCGCTGTAAATTTCGTAGAACGCAAGCAACCCGGGTTTGATCCCCGCCGGCACCAATCAATTGCAATCTGAGTGCTTATTTAAATGCAAACATCTATGTACAAGAAAAAAAAATATTGAAAACATGTGAAGTTTGCCAACACGCATTCATTGTGGCAGCGCAGCGGATATTACCTTGCCCTATAATCCTCAGAAATGAGAGAAGGCCTGTGACGGGGAGTACTGAGACGTACATATACAGGTTGTAACTTTATTTTACTTTTACACCTTGAATGTAATTTAAGCTTGTTTATTAATTCTTGCTTTTCCTTACATATTATATTTTTATATTTTTTTTTTCAATGTTCATTCGTATAACGTCGTCTATATATAAATATAACTTCTTAAAAACTTCACGCACTCTCTTTACACCTACGAGTGGAATTTTTCTTCAAATTTATATGAAACCAAATATCTACGATTCTTAAGTGCCATCAATAAAAAAAACCGTTCTAATGGAAATATCTAATTCATGTTCCCGATCTCAAAGTAGACACGTAATGACATATCACGTTTGATGTGTATATAATATATTATAAATCCAATTTTAATCATCTATTTCGTTTTATGGGGAGAGATGACATGAAAGGACTCGTTCTGTGAGGAAAAATTTAAATTACTGGCAAAATAAAAATGTCGAAAAAAAGACTACTTGTTGACTGCCCCGTTGATCTTGTGGTTGTAAATGCGGCTATTAATCATGAGATCCCGGGTTTGAATCCCGGTACGGACCAAAAAAAATCAATTAATGAGTTTTTCTGTCGAGAAATTCTTAGTAGCTGTCCAGAGTCAGAAACTTAACGTTGTCTTACCCCCGTACCTCGGAAAGCACGTAAAGTCGTTGGTCCTGCGCCTGATCTCTTTCCGGTCGTGTCAGTTTACCATTCTATGGGACAATGAGTGTGAGGGAATAAAGAGTACAGCTGTGCTTGCGAATACACTTGAGCACTATAATCGCGTCTTGCGCCGATGGCTAGTCTCTGTTGAGACGAGCTGCCGTGACTCAAATTCGGTCTGGAGGACATTACATCTGTTGTGTGACAATCCCGAAGCACATCCTTTCGCAACAGCCATTTCAAACGGTTGACAATTTAATGACAATTAAACATACACTTACCACAGACCGTAGATTGATGGGATAGTGAGTGCCATCACTGTGGACAGTACTCCCACAATCAGTATAGACACGCGCATCACCCAGATGATTTCCATCTCCGAGGCGTTTTGCCTGAAGATCAGCTTGTATACGTTCCTGTAGAAAAATATTTATATACTTCTAGCTGGTAGGTATTTTACAGCCCTGCGGGGTTAGCAAAGTTGAAATTCTTCAATCTTTAATGCTAATAGAAAACTATAAACATGAATGAAATCATCAACAAGTTATATTCACAAAAGTAAGATTGATAAACGAGTATTCACAAAGTCCACCCGATGTTTTTTTTAATATAGGATAGGGTGACAAACGAGCATACAGTGATGCATACCTGATGGTAAGTGGTTGCTGTGGTCCATAGACATCTACATCTATCCTCGATTACGAATCAAAATGCAGATGTGTTGTCAACCGTGAGAACTAAGATGGAATGCCTCGTCTCCAGTAAAAATAGTCTCCAGTTCTTTACATTCAGCAAACGAAAAAGCAGCATTAAACTGCTATTTTACGCTGGTATTCTGTGAGAGCTTAATCCCGTCCCCGTCGGGCCAACCCATTCGTGCTACAACCATAATATGCTCGTAGCTGCAGCGTGGCTCTACCACGTACGAATATAAGTGACATGAGTATCACGTGACTTAACGATAAGATATGGCGTTGTTCTTTATTTTTTAAGTTTTCATTCAGTGTAGAATCTTATCCTGGCTAATCTCGCTGGTAACTTACGGGCTGCTCGCCGTATGTTTTCAACTAGGGTTTGATACCTGCCGGTACCAACGAAAATATTAATTGTAGTTTTAAGCTTTTAAGTGCTGATTTACACTTAGCGGTCAGTCACCGCAGAGTCTATTTCACCTGAGGATACCTCGTAGAATCGAAACATGTGTTATATTTTTGACAATTGTGTGGCTTTCCTAATGTAGTGGTGTTAAGAATAATGGTGCTGGAGATAGTGCATGCAATTGAGGGAGGGCGGGAGGTACTCTTCAAACTAGGTAAGACACATCATTTTATTTAATTGGGCGGATAGTTGAAAAGCAACTCTTAACATCTTTAGTATAATATAATAAATAAATACATTTCAGTTACATCTAATCAATATGCTGTTTGTTTTCCAAATAAAAAAACACTAAAAATATGAACCTGATTAGTTTATCAGTCGGTCAGCACTAAAAATAGTTACATTTCTCAAAACTACACAAGGACTAGGTCTCTCATCTCATTTTCATGATACCTTTAAAAATTCATTATACCTGGCGAACATAGACGATGCGCTTAGCACACTGGAGTCAGCTGAAGACATAACAGCTGCGGAGACTGCACCTAGACCGAAGAACGAGATGAAATCTGGCGTGAGATGTTGCAGCACCAACGGTAATATCATGGACGTCTGGTCTGACGTCAGTTCACCGTCCGGAGTGAGGTCACCCTTGAATTCAGTTTCGTTCCATGCTGTAACAAAATCAAAAATAATTACACACACATTTTACACACACGTAGAGAATTTCTCAGGACATTAAGTTGCCTTTTGTATCGTTTTGTAAAAGGGAATGTATTATACGTGGTAGATCCACTGCAGCTATATATTATTATGATGGACGAATGAGTCGGCTGACGGGGCACAATACTTTATTGGCGTAGCAGTAAATGCTGTGATTCGTATGGTAAGTAAAGAGAACCGAAGACCCTTTTCACTGAAAACAAGGCATTCCATCTAAAGTAGGGTTCAGGGGTGACAACGCAACAGCATTTTGATTCTCAATCGAGGATAAATATGGATGTCTATGACCTCAGCGTCTACTTACCATCAGGTGGAATGTGTGATCGTTTGCATGTTGTACTTATTCGTGAATAAATAAATAGAGCCGTGGTAGCAAAGAAGCTAAAAGCAAAATGTAAATTTCACAATACGCGAACAACCCGGGTTCGATTTCCGCCAGCACCAATGAAATTGTTAATTGTAATCATAAGTTCTAATTTACCACGTGTTCGGTGATGAAAGAAAACATCATGATAAAATATATTTAGAAAGTAAAAACATGCTTTGGGTTAGCGCGATGGATTACAATGTCCTCCAGATCAGTTTCGGTCCCCGATGAAATACCGGCCACTTCCTGATTACGGGCTTCTACTAAGACTTTATTAAGGAAAAACCCCAATAACTGATTTTAGCCCGACCAAGGATACAAAACCGGGACCTTATGATCTGCAATCGCAATTTACAACTACTAGACAAACGAGGCATTCAAAAGTTCCTTGCCCTTAAACCCTCTTCAAAAGGAGAATAGGCATGTGCCCAGCTGAGGAACGTATATAGGATATAATTTTACTTTTACACATATTGTATATGTGTGGTATCGTATGTGTATCGTAGTTCGTAGTATTACATTAATTATTTTAGTGATCATATACGCAAACAAATATTTTAACCCGTTAATTAAAGTAAATTAGCAACAGAACATATTGTATGATTTGTGTCATCATCAAATCATTTTAGCAAAACTTGCTGTAAAACATGTTTTTTTCTATGAAATTTCTAACATGTTTTACGTAAATATATTGACAGTGCAAATGCAATACGATACATTGTCAAAAATACTGAATTTTAACCATGTTTTATATGAATTTTTTACCAGTCTAAACCCATGGTTATAGAAGCAAGCGTAACATGACCACACAGTTCACTTATAGAAAGTGGATATTGTAGTTCATAGACTTACCACATCTGTCCTCAATTTAAACTTAAATTGCAGATACGATCTAAAGGACTCTTTTTTCTCCCTTTGGTTTGGGTTTGTTTTTCCCCTAAGGACTTAGATGGAATATATCGTACAATAAAAAGTGTCTAAAAAGGGGCCGATTTTTGTCACCTACCCTACAAACATAGTAGCATTTAGCTGTTACTTTACGCTGGTATTTTGTGAGCGTGGTCCAACCCTTATCAAGGTGACGCATTTTGGAGCTATATTATACGCTGTACATGAGCGGATAGTCAACCACACCGTAGTTTAGTATGATGCTGCTGTTCATCTCCTGATGTGTTTCCCTCAGTCGCCTCTTACGACACCCACGGGATGGTATGGGCTAGTGGATATTCTTAAACCGCCACTACACGGTGAGTTGAATTTCATAAATCAAATGGAACTAATTATTAAGCTTTTCATCGCGTTTAATTTTGCTTGTAAATCGTAAAATTTCAAACATGTTACCTGTGGCCTTGGCGATAGCCCCAATAAGCACAGGTGGGATGGCCATAAATATGCAACCGATGGCCGCAACATATGACAAGATCTGCGCTCTTCCTGCGGTCTTGCTGCTCAGTACTCTTTGGAAGTACACCTGAACAAAAGTTAAAGGAAAAATTCATGTTAAAGACGTGAAAAATTAATTAACTAAGTACCACGTAAAATTAAAATAAAATGATGTGTCTTACTGAGTTTGCAGAGCACCTCCCGTTCCGTTACCACTACCCCCTAGTCAAACTAGGTATAGTATAAACTAGGTAAGACACATCATTTTATTTTATTGAGCGGATGGTTGCGAAATAAATCTTAACATCCTTAATAAAATGGATTTCCGCAAAGTAACGCCTGATTCTACTAATTACCCACTCGACTTATTAACGTCCACGGAGATGAGTGCTTTGTGAACCAAGCGCTGTGTGAACCGCACATCCGGTATGGAGCATTCACACCCCGGGATGGTCGGCGGTGTGCTCTTCCCGTCATCTAGAGTCGAGTTGGATGCAAAGAGAGAGCCTAACAGATCGGCTTTGTCATCTACAGCATGGGCCGGTGAGTCGTCTTCTCTGTGCAGAGATGGAAGAGATGGCTGACAGAAGTTCCCTTTAACAACCTTGGCAAAAGACGAGAATGCATGGGTTCCCGAAGGAGGGCGAACTAACTTCTCACCAATTCTGCCGATGTGCTCAGACCTTGCTTTGGCAATGACTCTTTTGAAGGACCTGGAAATGGATTTATACTTTTCTTAAGAGCTCTGGTGTTTACATCTCGAGACGTTATGCCCGATGCGTTAGCCAAGGCTCGGTAGCACTTCTGTTTATAGCGTGATGCTATTTTACAGGAGAGACCAAACCATTGCTGGGATCTGCCTCCGATGTGCACCACAGAAAATGGAATAGAAAAACACTATACCCTGAAATATCAATTCAGTGATAGAATCAGCAACAACGCTGGGATCGTCAGCCGTGAAGCAAATCCGCCCCAAGGATAGGATACAAAATAAGACCACATCCTAGACCAATTTGCCAACCTATAATGCCAAACATGGCGGCAGCCTGCAGAATGCAACCGCATCGGTAGTGTGAGTGGCACCACACTTCAGACTAGACAATGGTCCAAGGAGCCAAATGGGGCGTCGACGGAAACCTGATATCCGTCTGGTTAAGGGGTCATCAGAAGGTCCAACAGGGAAGGATCATGCATCCTATACATCTGGAATCTGCATAAACAAAGTAACTAGCTGTGTAATACCATATGCCAAGGCTACGTCATAAACAGATCTCCCCATATGATCGGTTAAACGTGAACGGAGGATTCGACGTGGTGGGCGTTGAAATTGCCAAGGATCACGATCTCTGCGTATGGGATTTAATGAAGCAAGGACGGCTGTCGCCATTTCGTCGTGGTCGATGAGTCGGTCTGTTTCGACATTACCGCTATGGGACCTAAGAGGCACCCGTAGACGCGCGGATTGTCGTCACTGACTACACGTAGCCAAAATAGATGGAATGCCTGTTTACCAGTTAAAAAGTCATTGGTTTTCTAAACTTATCATACCAAACATAGTGACATTTTTAAGGAATACTAGTAACTCTTTCATCACTAATACTTTTGTTCACACAGTAGTCGAATAAAAAGTCAGTAGTTTAACACAGTAGTCGGATAGAATTTTTTATTTCAAAAAAACATTAACCTACTCCACTAAATAATGTCTGCCTAGGAGTCCGCTTGTATAGGTCACCATATTAATATTTCCTACCGCCAAATAGTGTTCCGTTTTGACCCAGTCTGACCCGGTGCGGTTTATGTTCGGTATGATAGACAGGTCCAAACTTTCAAGATTGCTGAGGCGTCGAGAACAGATGTCCTCTCTGATGTACACGCAAATTCCAGCCCGAGGCACAAAGGAATTGGGCTTCCGAGTACCTGCACTCATCAGACGAAACGCGGAGTCTCTACTTCACGCTGATTTTCAGTGAGGTCGTAGTACCACCCCGGTTCGAGCCGGCCCATACAAGCAACAGCAAAAGCTGCCGCGTGACTCTACCACTATTAAAGGGGACTAAGGAATGTCATGAGTTAAAGTAACAAATGGAACGTCGTCCTATTAGTTAAACCACAAATTTCATTCCCTACTTATTCATTCAAAGGGGTAGATTTTTTTTATTTTGATATATGACCACTCCTAAAGTACCTATTTAATAAAACAAGAATAATTTAAACTAGTCCAGCTATTTCTGAGAAGTCGATGAACTTTTGTCATCCTCTTTGTAACACGTTTAAAAATAAAAGAAAAATGAGCTTCGATATGGTTTGAATATATTGGATGTAGGTTTATTTAACTCCATATTCGCGCCCCCTCCATAAAACTAGACACATTATGTTGTGGTTAATTTCAATTTTTTTGTACTATTTTTGTGTAGTTCAGGGTACAGTGGGACTGTAATCGTATGCTTTTTTAATAAGACTTTAAATAAAAATAAAAGCTAAATTAACAAAAATTTTAAAGAATATAATTACCACTTAAAATAGTCGGTTTAGAGTATAGAAGTAAACCCCTATGGAGGGGATCTCTATAGAGAGACCTATGTTTAGCATAGGTCTGGGCTATAATGAACGAGTAAACGAAGCACTTACTCTAAATACATGTTTGGGTCTTACAAAAATATTAAAAAAATATTTTACGTGGTATCTCCATGCTGTAGCTTTATTAATGGAAAAGAAAGCGTGTCAAAGCATCAGCATTTTAATTATCAATCAAGGATAGATGTAGACTTCATGCTCGTTTGTCACCCTAATTGTATAAAAAAATGTTTGTAAGTCGATATCATTATTCTTACCTGCCACGGAATCCCTCCAAAAATAAGCAGTAGCCCATAATCTGCGTAAAACCAATAGTAGTTGGAATCGATCCTTCCTATCCAATCCACCTCCATGGAGCTGAGAGGCTTGACGTGCGGGTTAGCCCAGGCGAAGGGTATGCACATCCAGAGACCGATGAAGATGCAGAACAGCTGGATGACGTCAGTGTACGCCACTGAGTATAACCCTCCGAACAGGGTATAGAAGACCGCGACGCACGCGCTGAAGATCACGGACGTGCCTTGGTCCATGTCAATAATGACAGCTAATGTAGCGCCTGAGAGAAACACAGAAATAAGCAGAAGATATAGTAGCAGAAATAAGCAGAATATATTATAGTAGCAGAAATACTTGCATATGTACTGTTACGTTATGATTCAAGTGGTAAAATTAAAAAATTTGTACAACGGACTACAATATAAATAAAATGAGAACATCATCAAAAATATAGTCAAAGTCAATTAAATACGCATTATTCTAAAAAAAAACTCATGATCACATATTTTTAACAACTTTATATGAGACCACATAAGAAGCATCAGCTTTAAAATAAAAAATACTATCAAAATCGCTTCACCTAGTTTTGAGGAAACACACATAAAAATACAGTCGGATTAAATATCTCCTCCTTTTTTGTAGGTTAGTTAACAAGACACTAGCTTTTTTGTTAAAATATAGCCTATATAAATCGGTTAGTTCCTGAAAAAGTCTTACTTCTACAGGCGATATAGTCATTTGAAGTAATAAGACATTTACCCCAATAACTAATCTGAATATAGATCCTTTTAAGAGTTTAAACACTAAGACAATATAGTTGAAGTCACAACACTTGATTAAGTAAATAATAATTTATAACCTGACATTAACTTAAATAGATTCCTCATATAAAAGCGATAACAATAAAATTTTATTTATTTTAATGATTTACTACACATTTAAATAAAACTAGGTTTTACGGATTTTATCGCGTATACTGCATCCGGCGAACTGGACATATACAATCTGAATAGTGTGACGTGTGTGCTGGCGTAGCGTCCCTCAAGGCGGTATTGTCTCTTCTCTTCTGTTTTCAATTTTTATCAATCTCATCACAATATATCTCAAGTGCTCTTACCATCTCATCTGCAATTATATGCGCAAGTGGAACCCTCAAATATCTTTAATGATATCTCATTATTAAATGATGATTTGAAATACATCTCTAAATGGTCTACTGTGTATGGCATAAACGTAAACTCATCTAAAAGCCAAACGATAATCTTAGGTAGCCCAATACTAGATATTCCCACCTTACCATCAATTAAGTTTAATAATAATGTTATATACCATTCTCCGATCTACGCGGTATGAGCTTATGAAGCTCATGGGCTCAATCTCCGAAGTTGAATCTGTAGAAGACCGACATGCAAGCGACTTGGTGGCGGTGAGCTAAGGTGTGAAGCTTGGCTGCCACCAGCTTTTTATTGCCGATAAGCCTCTTGGCTCTGCGTTGCACTGAGTCCACTATGGCAAATATGCTCTCCATGATGCAATGTATGGGGAGGGCTTGTGTTCAGCAATGGGCTTTTGATAGGCTGTAATGGGAATGGCAGGTGATGAGAATTCAACTATTTTGTTAAGTGTTCAACTCTTTAAGAAATTATATTGAATTTCACTACTGAGAGGAACTGCAAGTGGTAGCGCCACGCTGCAGCTATATTATAGTTGTAGCCGGGGTGATAAACGAGCACATAGTCCACCTGATGGTAAATGGATGCTGTGGCCCATAGACATCTAAATTAAGACTAAATTAAGAATCGAAGTGCAAATGCGTTGTCACGCCTGAGGACTAAGATGGAATGCCTCATTTTCAGTAAAAAGGGTCTCCGGTTCTTTACACTCACCATACGAAACACAGCAGCATTAAGCTACTATTTCACGCTGGTATTCTGTGAGAGCGTGGTGCTTCCCCGGTCGAGCTGACCCATTCGTGTTACAACTATACTACTAATATAACTGCAGCATGGCTCTACCACGTATAAAACCTATGTCAATTACAGACTTTGAAACTATGCAACCGATTTTGATGGTTTTTTTTTTGCGTACCTATCTTTGAATGGGTCCCTAGATAGTGTTGTCGTGATCCAGATACCACCCATGCGAAATCGGAGCGGATCGCGAGATTCTTTATTAATTTAAAGTAAAAAAAAATTTACAGCCTATATAGGTCCCACTGTTGGGCACAGGTCTTCCTTCATTTCTAAGAGGGTTTTAGGGCAAAGAAGTGTCCGCCGCGCTGCCCCATTGCGTGTTGGCGAACTTCATATCATGTCTTAGAATTTGTTTTTCTTATTCCTCAGCCATTCAGGTTTCCTCACGATATTTTCCTTCACCGCCGAGCACGTGGTAAATCAGCACTTCTAATTGCAATTAACAATTTCATTGGTCCCGGCGGGGATCGCACCCGGTTTAAAGTAAAAAAGTAAAGTTACAGCCTATATACGTCCCACTGCTGGGCTCAGGCCTCCCCTCATTTCTGAGAGGGTTTAGGGCAAGGAAGTGTCCGCCGAGCTGCCCAAATGCGTGTTGACGAACTTCACATGTCTTCGAAATATTTTTTTTCTTATTCCTCAGACATACAGGTTTCCTCACGATGTTTTCCTTCACCGCCGAGCACGTGGTAAATCAGCAATTAATATTGCAATTAACAATTTCATTGGTGCCGGCGGGGATCGAACCCGGGTTACTAGCGTTCTGTTATATTTACAGCGAGCGTTAACCACTGAGCTACCACGGCTCTTGCACCCGGTTTGCTCGCGTTGAAATTCACAGCAAGTGCTGACCATCTGAGCTACTACGACTCTTTATAAATTTAGTATATAGGAGATAATTCGTTATTAATTTTTAAAACATTTTAGGCTTTATTGATAAATCACGCCCAGATAAAATATGTATGTTAAAGATTAATTAGTTAATTATTTAATATTTAACATTCTTAATATAATGGATTACCGTAAAGTAACGCCTGATTCTACTAATTATCTGAAGTACGTTATCACGCTAAGTACCTATACGGGCTATGTTTTTAGATATCAGTTACGTTTTATCGTCATTTAATAATAATATCGTTGTCTTGGGTCGTTTCAACGCAACACCTTCACGGTATAGTAAACATTTCTAGTGAATGCCAAAACTCAAACAAACAAAAGGACCTTCGATTAAAAATTATATTCAAAGCGACACATGAAAAATTTACAAAAATCCAGTTCTGAAAAAAGATAATTTGCGTTGTAATAATATTGTATTATAAAATAATTACACCGATATAACCTGAACAACTTTAATTCCGCTGTTTTATTTTACATAACATAACATAAAGACTCACGCCTGTCATCCAGAGAGGTAAGCAGAGACTACAGACTTCCATTTGGCACGATCCTGACACATCTCTCTCGCCTCCTCCACATCCATATACCTAGGCGTACATGCTCGTCGGTTAAGGGTACTCCTAATTTGGTCCGTTTTCAATATATCGCCAATTTGGTCGATAAATTTTCGCCTAGGACGTCGCTTTCCGACTCATGACTCCGACACACAACATAAATTTGCTTTCTCACTCTTTCCTCATTCATTCTTTCCAAATGAACAAACCACCGATGCATTCCTTTCTTAATCCTGGTCACAACATCATCTTGCAAACCACACTCTTTTCTTATCACACTATTTCTCATCCTGTCATTCAGATTCAGCCCTCATACACACTCTTCCTACACATACTCCTTTTCTACTGCGTTTGTTCTACTCTCGTGCTTCTTCTGCCACACCCAACTTTCACTGCCATACGTTAAAGTAGGAACTGTGAATTGCCATACATGCCTTTTTTGACACATTCTGATTATCCCATTTACTCTATTTCCATTTTTTTTATTGTAATTTCTATTGTAAAAATCTGGTTATTCATTTACGATTCAAAGTGATTTCCATCATCGATCACTGCTTTCTCCCATTTTTCAGCTAGCGTTCGTCACCCGCGTTACGTTAAAAAGCAGGTCGTCTTTTAAAGGGATCCACGAATCGATCCAATTATTGACTTTTTCATAAGACCGGTTTCTTCAAAATTCAAACAGGCCATGTGCTATCGATCGTCGAAACATCATCATCGAATATATACTATATGGTATTTACTATATAATATGTAGTTTATAATATATACTATATAGTTTATACTATATACTATAGTAATACCCCTTTTACTAGACATGAGGAATTAAATTTTAGTCGTAAGAGCTGACAAGAGCTTGATAAAATACAAAAATGCAGATGCATTTGGAGTGTAGATTTTCTTGGATTAACGATATTTCCATTAAAGATTATTTAGCTGAAATCCGCGTAAAAATTATGTGTCGTAACTAGTTTGTAAAGTACCTTCATTCCTCTCAAATCTGCGTTCAACTACCACCGCCCACCGCTAACCACATACCACAACCGCCTCTTAACTAGGAAAGTCTCCCATCGTTGATAATACGACACGTGTTTCGCAGAGGTTCAGAAAACGGAGCATCATCGGAAGAAATAAACTTTGCACACTTAGTAATTTTCTCATCTATACGTGTAAATAAATTTGAAGTGTAATATATAAATAACTATTAAGGCTTCTACTAAGTTTAGGGAGCTATTTGTATACTATTAAAGCATATATAACCGTTACAATGTGTCTGTCTGTGCAGCCAGCCGGGCGGGTTGCAAGTCTTTAATATAATTTGATTTTCACAAAGTAACACTTCGATTCCATTAGTTATAAGAGATTATACAAAACTGAAAAAAAATAAACCTGCCTCTTTTAATCTATGTTACTGAAACTAATGTCGTATTGCATTCATACAAAACACATTGCCTGTACCATTACAGCATATTACAGTCTACTGCTGAACATAGGCCTCCGCCATAGATTGTATCATAGGGGGATACTTGCTACAGTTGGCACGCTTGGCCAGCGGGTTGGCAAACACAGTTTTTATTTTTAGTCCATATCAGGAAGACGCTGCTGCCCAGCTCCTGATTTGTTTCCCCCTGTCGCCTCTTAAGCCCACGGAATGATTTAACCACTCGAATGTCTGGGTCATTTTGGCCAATATGGCGCATCTGTTGAGCACTTTCCGAAGTACTAAGTAAGTATATAACAAGTATACTGAGTATATATATATATATATATATATTTTATATGTTATATATATGTATGTTATATACCATATATATGTTACAAATAGTTTGCTATCACTAGACGTCATATTATGGCGC